AGAGAGAGAGAGGGGAAAAAAAAAAAAAAAAAAAAAAAGGAGAGAGAGACAGACAAAAATAGAGGAGCTGAGAAGCAGGAGCAGCTTCCCAGAAGCAGGAGAGCTTCCCAGGAGCAGCTTCCAAGGGACCCTCCTGCAAGGCCACGGAGCTCCCCGGGATCCGGCAGCGCAGGATATGGGTCAAGTTCAGCTCTGGCTTTAAAAGGCGCCGGGTATTGACCAAGCACTCAGCCCTGCAGCACTCCAGACAGGTCGCTCCTGCTGCTGCCTGGTGCTTGTCTAGATAAGACACTATTTTCAAGCAGCCTGAGCCATAAAATAAGAAAAATGAGGATATCAACAAGAAGTTGAGTCAATGACTCTACATAAAAGGAAATTTCCATCCCCTACCAGCTATTTTCATCTCTGTTAGCTTTCCAGTGGGAGGATTCAATTTGCATTTAAATAAAAACCTCAAGCACAGGGCCAATCTAATACTAAAACATTTATTACAGAGACATTTACCCCTTAAGAAATGTTAACAGAACCCAGTGGATTTTAACAGGGGTCCATTTGCAATCTGGCATTATTGGACACTTAGCGTTTGTAAGTTATTATTCAGCAGGCTCCTTGCAGGTGAGCCCAGGTAGCTCCAAACCTGCTCCAGCAAGTCAGCAAGGTCCATGCTTACAAGCACGGAGGTGAAAAAGCATCTCCAAAAGTCTTCTCCAAACAGAGACCTGACTGCAGAGAGCTCAGATTTATGGTGGGAATGGAGTGACAGGGAAGGAAAGGAGGTCCCAGAGCGAAGTCAATCAGCCAAGGGCTGACTTTTTGAAGTATCCTTCAAAATAGACATTTATAACTTACTGCAGTCCATGCAAGTGCACTTCTGAAGCTGCTGGGAATGAGGTTGAGCCTAGTGTCTTTGGAGATCATCAGAAACCTCGTAAAGAAATCATTTCCCACCACAAAATGGATCTCCAGCTTATCGACCATGTTAACTGCAAGCTTGCCACGAGGTGGAAAACCTCCCCCTGTTGAAAGGATGTTTTCATAATAACATAAAAATTATTATGAAATGTAAGTTTATTAGGTAAAAATGAACTAGACATTAATTCAAGGTTAAAAAAGGATGATTGCAATGGTTAAACAGAGAGGGTCCTGAGCTCCCACCGTCGAGCAGGGAGCAGGCAAACTGAGCTGGGACCCACTGCAGGCTGCTCTGCAGCTGGTTCTCGCGCTCACATCAAGCTGCACGTTTCATTTTACACTAGTGGTCAACTGCGGCTTACAGAGCCCATTAAAACATGACAGCAGGCCGGTGTTCAAACCACTTGGGAGCTCCTGCTCCGTGGGCTGGGGGCCAAACAGGCCTTTGGCTCAGGACACTGGCTTCTGTTCCAGCTTTTAAACGGTGCTGTTTGATCTGCAGCCCTTCGTCTCCTTTTTCCCTTCCCGCTTTTTGACTCTTTCTCCCTGTTTTGCTTTCGCTTCCCCCACTCAGTCTGTCCCATCCCGGGCTCTCTTGCACTAATGGGACTCCAGTTTACAGTATCACCACCGACTGTATTAACACGGAAGCGGAGATGGGTGACAGCACCCAGCACCGCTACAGCCCTTTGATAATCCCTCCTATATATTTACTAAATATTTTTAATAATTTACTAAAGCAAATACTCATATCTTCATAGGCATTTAGTTCACCCCAATAAAGCGGGTAAACCCCAAAGACCCCCTTGATGACCTTCCACTTGCCAGCAGGTCATTCCTTAGCCCATTCCAAACAGCCTTACCTTTCCGAGGAGGAGAGGCTGCCACGTAAGCAAGGAGGAAGGAGGGTTTAATGTGGAGAGGAGCAGTGAGACAGGCACGGTGGCTTAGCCGTAAAGCCCAGGTGCTCCGTGCCCGGCTGCGGCTTTGCCTGCCGGATGAGTCAGACCTGACAAGCTGAATAATAACGGGCTCTGAAGAGCCGAGCTTACGTAACGCGCCACGGAGCCCTCGGAGGTGCTGCCTTCACTTAGCAGATGCTTTCGGAACGGGAAAAGGCAACAGCAGCCGGTTGTCCCCATCCCCAGCTGGTCCCTTGTGCAGCTGGAGACCTGCTTTGGAAGGAGGGAGGGAAGGACACGCTCTGCTAACCACGAACTGCGGCAGAAACAGACCCATTAGCAGCATTAGGAAGCCCATCCGTGGCGCTGAGGCTGCTTTCCTCAGCTGCCACGTGTCACCTGAACGGGGACACTTCATGGGGGACAACACGGGGACAGCCTGGGCAGGCTGCGGAGCTGCGCTTGGAGGAGAAGGAAACTTCCCAAACCGCTTGCAAGCGCTACGGGAGGTGCTGCTGCAAGAGGTGAAAAAAAGGGGAATAAACCTGAAAACCTGTAGCCACCTGCTGCAATCCAACACCAGTTTCCATGGGAACAGCAGGAGCGGAGTTGGTGGAATTCCTGTAAATTACACAAATAAGCCAAAACGACATTTATTCTCCCTCTCACGCGTGCATCACTTCAGGTCCAGCCAGCTGAGCACAGCAGCTCTGGTAATTCTTCTCCCAGATGGTTTTTCCTTGATACGGCCGTGATCCGAAGGGAATGCGCCTCTTCCCGGGCGTTTGGGACACACACAGTTTTTAGGATAACTGCCGAGGGGTGAACTTCCCCAGCCCCATGCTGGAAGAGTCCATCCAGCCCCCCAAAAGAAGCAAGCAGCATCTCCTGACACCCAGCAAAGGTTTTTGTTGGAGATCAGAGTCCTGCAGATAAAGGTGAATCACATCCAGGATGGCAGAACCGTATCCAGGCATCAGAAGCAAGGTGGACCACACCTGAGCGTGGCCAATGAAGAAAGGTCGGAGACCAGGGATGACGTCTAGTCCTCCCCTGCCATTTCTTTTGGAGATTTGGCAGCCTGACAGTTAATGAACTAGTTAATTAATTAAGTTTTCCTCCTGCAGGGCTCCAAACTGGCTGTAGTGCAGAGAATCCCCTTAATATGCGGAGACGGATGCCAAGAGCTTCGGGATCTCTCCATCAGCAGGGTTAAGCCATGGGGAGAAGTCCACCAGCTGTGTGTGCCTGTCTGGCAAACACACGGAGACACCGTTTCGGCAGACCCGGGCACGCTGAAAAGACAGTTTCTGGGGAAAAAAATGCACAGAGTACCATCAAAATTAGCTACAGTTCATAGCTTTTTATCAGCAGCACAGTAGAGCCCTAAGCTGTCTAACTAGTCTGGCTGCATTCACCTGCCTTTCAGAGGCCAAGCACAAGGCCGTGCTTATTTACAACTGGAAGGAGCTGCTTGTTCCTAGGGCCAGGGCTTTGCAAGAGCAGCTCGTCTCCATGCACGGCTTAAAGAAAAAGCAGTGGTTTCCTCGTATCCCAAGGCACATCTTTCCTGAGTTCACTAAGAGCGCTTCTTATAATACTGATTCTCAAAGCTAAATTTATGAGCTAATCTATTAATCTCTAGCAAATTATTTTTGTCCACTCTCCAGTGGGATTTAGAAGTTCTATTCCTGGCTCAAGCACGTGGCTCTTGTTGTAAGTCACCAAACCCCTCCCTGTGTTCATCTGGAAGGGACACAGCCATTTGATCCCATGCTAGCTTGGCTGAACCTCGACTGCCTGGCAAGGATGACTGCAAGTCTGTCCCTTACATGTTCCCATGACTGTAAGCCTGTCCCTTACACGCTCCCACTCCTTACAGTGGCTCCAAAACGGATTCTCCACCTGCAAGATCTCAAGCACATTTACCTTACAGCAAAGTCCAGGCTTAGGAGAGTCTGCACTAAGATCAATTCAAGAGAAAGAAAATCCCAAGAAAGAGGGCAAATGCAGAAGGGTCTCAGCCACGCAACCAACTCTTGTCTTCTGCAGTTCCTTCTCTCCAGATGTCCTACAGCCCCAGCTGCTGCCCATCCATGCAGAGATGCATTACAGGAAAGCTGATTATAATTGACCTCATTGCTACAGCACTCCAGCTCTTCCCTATTTAGCAATGATTTTACTGTCATTACTCTCCCCGAGCTATTTCTGCCAGGCAGAGATCCTTGCTGACAGGTCTCCGGTGGCAAAGGCTGCGGTGCATCTAATCGGAGATGTGGGGGAGATGGCTTTGGAGGACTGCCCTCCACGCAGGGCATGGGTTTGCTCTTCAGGAGGAGGTGGTGACAGGGTGTCAGCTCATCAGTAAGCTCATCTGCCCCTTTGAGGGATCTCGACACAGTAAAGGGGGCTGGGGGAGACATCAGGAGTCACAGAGATGGGGTTGGAAGGTTGAGGTTGTTAGATGGTGACCATGGCTTCATCATTAGCAGAGGCATTGCAGCTCCCGAATTTCCTGTTTTGGGAACAGCCTGCAGAGCAGCACTGCATTCCCAGCTCTTACCGTGCATCTCAGCTACACATGTTAACCAGGAACCCAAACGTCTAGTTACTGCAGAGGTTACAGGTATTCTCACCCGCAAACGCTCTCATTTCAGTGCCTGAGATTACAGCCAATTGGCAGGGTATAGCAACAGGGCACAACTTACCTCCCAGGTGCTCGACAAGGCCTAAATGTTTGTTTTGCTGCTCCGTTCAATAAGATGAACGGGCACAAATGTGCTGAGCTCATTCCCCAGGGAAAAGGGATCGGCTCCGAGGCTGCTCTCGCAGAATCACTCCGCTGCCGTATCCATTCCGCTGCACGAGGACAGATTTGGCACAAACTGAACTCGTCTGAGGGTGGCAGAAACTGCCTCCCCATTTTGAGCTGAGAAAGACAGACTTTAACCCAAATCCGGTACTGATGATGCTTGCAGTTTAGCACGGGCTTTCTTAAAGAAGGTCAGTTGGTGACAGGGAATCAACGCTATTTGCCGTAGACGGGTAGAAAAGTGCAAGAGGTGTCACGGTGGCTAGCTCCCGCACCAAGGGTTTCTTTCCCAACTCGCGCCTTGAGCTGCACAGCTCACGTCCTGGTCTAGTTCTCCCCTCCTCCTCTCAGCTTGATCTCCACCCATGAAATACGCTACTCATTTAACTCTTCTCAGTATATGATCTACGAGAAGATTACATCCACAACCGAGGTCGCTTTTAGATGAGAGTGGCAGGCCTTGCTGAGAAGTTGGCCCTTCCACTGTACTCATTTCAGACTGAGTTTTAGCCTTGAAGAGGCAAGAACATCTTTTCAGTAGCTACAGTGCAGCACACCCTCCCTTGACCCTTCGTGCCTTGTATTATGCTAGAGGCATTGTCTGTCTCGCCAGGTTGGTGAGCAATTAATTTCCCCCAGATTATAGCTGGTGGCTCAAATACGTGATATCAAAGCTGAGGTGAGGTTCTCAGACTGAATAATCCCAGCAGACAAACTGTGCAGGGCCCTAAACCCTTTTGAGGGAGTCCAAATAGGCAGCACAGGAATATTTATAGGAATTATAGTCCAGTGTCTAGCTGGGGCACAACACGTTTTTTTTCTTTGTTGAAGCCAAGTTCACAGAATAGCAAGACACGCTTCCAAGAACGAGTCCCTTTATGCAATGAACACAAGGCAAAGACAAGTTGCAGAGCATCTTCCCCCTCCTACCAGCCTTTTAATTCACTACCTCAAGAGCTTGCTCACAAGCAGAAAGGAAAGAAAAGGGTATTCTTCAGTTTTGCAGTCATTGCTATCATGGCATGTCCTCGGGACAGCGCTCTTATCCTCTTCCCATGAGGAGGTCTATGAGCAGATTGTGTGGGTCCATCTCCATAGTTACGTACACAAAGAACACAAACACGAAGGCAGCAAATATTGCAATCCTTACAGGCATTGGTATCATGCTTCGAGAATCCTCTTGTGGGGCTACTTTGGCTCTGCAATTCTCTTTTTCCAACACAAGCTTCTCTTTTTCCACTTTAAATGTTTCCGCAGTCTTCTGAGCTGGTGACTGCTCGTCCTCCTTTTCTGGTCTTTTCCTGAAAAAGATGTTGGTTCAGACAACCTGGGACTCTCATCATTAACTCTACAGAAGCAACATATGTTATTTTTTAGAGAAACCACACAGGCTCTAACAGCAACCTGCTGCTGGGTGAAGAAATCTTTCAATTCAGGGAAAAAGAAACTAAAGCAAATCCCGTTTATAAAGCAAAATTCTTGAAACTAATGCAAACAGTAGCCTTCTGAGCATGACAAGCAGAGGGATAACACTGTGCTGCTCAGCTCCTGCACTGTGCATTATACCCAAGGAAGGGCATCCAGGATGGAGTGAGCTTTAAAATAATTACCAAGCCCGGCTCCAAGCAGTATTTGGCACCTGCTTGCTATTTCTTGCTGTAGAATTGCTAGCAAGGCAGGCACACTGTTCAGGACGGCCTCTGGCTGAAGCAAAATCCACAGGTCAGGAGCCCTTTTGTTTCGCATACTCCCAAGTGAGATCAAAAGAGACTTTCCTAACAGCCAAAATGCCAAAACCAGCCAAAGGAGATGGGGCAAACACCAAGGGAAGAGACAAGCTAAATAGACACTACCTGATTCCCGGGGGAGACCAAGTATCAGAAAACCACGTCTCATCTTGCTCCTCTTCACCAGTTCCATCCTTAGGTGCTTCATCTGTCTGATTAGAGAGTAATGTTCATAGTGAGACATTTAACAAGCCTAAGACAGAAGGTTTGCATTTCCAGCAAGCAAAGCTACCAAACAAGCTGCAGATAAGGAAAAGCACAAGGACAGCTTAATTTCAAGGGCAGGATGCTTCACTCCGCAATCCTGAAATTATTAGGACAGACTAATGACAGACAGCAAATGTTCGTCAGCGGCCACAGCGGGCTAATAGGAATGGTGCTCCAGAAATAAGAAAAACAGCATTTTGTTCCTTGATCAGAAGCAAATCAGTGAACACAAGTTGCCTTGAAATAATCTCATTTAAAGTGGATTGTTCTGCAGATAGAAAAAAAAAAGTAGTAGTAAAATCCTCATGCCTTTGTGGAATACTCAAGACCACCAAAAAATTAGGTTAGAATAGAGGTTGATTGCCTATAGTCTGCTTCGGATGCCTTTGAAATAGTAATTGATGTTCAGCATGTCACTGCATTCTAGTCTACCACTTTCCCACACTAGCGGAAAAAAATACTACTTTAAATAGATTTATTTAGCAAGCAACGTACAATATTCAGTACTTCGCCTCCAGACACCTCATGTAATCACAGCAGCTCCACAAGCTCATTTGTATGCAAGAAAAACAGGGCTATAATCAGCATTCCTGTTACATTAACGCTCAAGGTTCTCCCTCGGGACCTTTCTGCCCTCCCTTTCTAGGGTAGGAGCGCAGTTTTGGTTGGGACTTCAACAAATCACTTGTGGTTAACAACGTTCAGGTAAAAGATAACCTAGAAAAATAAATATCCTAGCTCAGTCTCCTGCACCAGAATGACCCGAGTGATTTCTAGGTGTTAACACTGCTATGATACCTTGGTGGTGTGAATGGCCTTGGGACTGCCCTGGGGACTGCTGCCACCCGGTCGCTTTTGTCCCTGTGTCCAGGGCACTGGCAGTTTATCCTCCGGCAGGATTTGCTCCAGCTGTTAAGATTTTCAAGGCAGACACTCAACAATGCAGGTCAGAGATGCACACACAAACCCCCAGTGTTCTTTGCATTTAAGAATATTGCAGTTCTTAAGACAATTAGACCTCCCTTAAAACACAAACGTGGTTTAACAGAATGTAACTAAGAGCCTGAAGTCATTTGCATTCCATAAGTGTGGAATAAAGCAATCCCTCTAGCTATCGGATGACTAGTTAATGATAAAGTGGAAGCTATATGCTTTATTCTTCATTAATGATCTTTTATCTACTTGTTTTGTGTTTTAAAAGCATGTGTATGTGTAGGCACACATGGGTAAAATATGGACTATTAGAACAGCATCAGTGAACAGTTATTGTCATTAGCTAGCATTTTCACAAAGGAATTATTCTTAGGGTGATTCTTAATATATCAAGCACGCATTGAAAGCTGTAAGATAGTCCGAACAAAGTAAAACTAAGTGGAGTTTAAAGCTCTGTTGCCACAAATGGGCCCAGCATCCTGCATTTATCACTGCTGGCAAGTCAAAATACAATATAACAAGAGTAATAGGAACCCAGTAAAAGTTCTCGTGGGAGATTCATGAAATGCTAGTTGCAAAAGCCCAACAAAATGAACACGTAGCAAGGACAGACACTTTCCTCTGCCATTATCTTAGCCAGGCTGTCATCTGCATTAGGCAGCAGGACTTTCTTGTGGCGTTCTGGTCCTTCCATGCTTGAAGGCTATAATGGAAAAGAGAAAGGAGCAAGAAACACTGAGAAAACACACACTTTCCCTACGTTAAAGATTAATATATTTCCCAATAGCATAACAAGAAATTACTTCTTCAGCACAGATGTAATAGAATAACTAAGTTAAATAATAAGTTTTGCTTTGAATAGTTTCCCAGCTGCTGAAACTACTGCCACAAGAATTTGCCTTTTAAGTCAAGGGGTAACTTAAGAGGTAAAACACAGTGTGACTGAAAGGGCGTCCACCCCACGGGAGCAGCTGCTGCAGATGCTCTTGGTGACCTTCAGCAAAGCACCTGCAGCTCCATGCTCAGAAGCTCCTCCAGCCTCACAGTGGGTCTCCATCCATAAACCATCCATAAACTTCACATCACCGAAGCGTTCTGAAGACCAAGGCTTTAAACTACCTAGTGACCATTTTCATATAAGAATGGAAAATACAAGGAGCTGCAAGTCCTAGGCTTCATCGATACTTATTTTTTTATTACAGTGCTAGTCCTTCTCAACCAAGCTCTCACTTAACACGTGCAGCACTAAGGACTGCATCCCGGTCCATGCTGTATTTTAAATATTCCGCCAAGCAACACCTACAATTAATTGAATGCCCCAGAAAATGAACTTTGTGCTCTTAAACACCTTAGCTCGAGAAAGAGGAAGGCAGACCACAGGAGCATGCTATAATTAACTGATTGGCGGTAATTGCTGCATTTGTCATGATGCGAATACAAAGAGCATCAGTTTATATCAACTCGCAATTTCCCTCACTTAGCTGCAGATACATAAAATATTCATGCATTAGCGGAGTACTTACTTTACAATAGCCAGAGGCGCAGGCTGCTGCCACTTTGAAGTCTTTTGTTTCAAGCATGACTTGAGTATTTCCCTCTGAATGAGGGAGGAGAAAAACAAAAATAAGCTAGAGCCCTAAAGTAAGAGAATTCTCCCCAAAAAGCTCTACCGGATTGCATAATTGGGCGCTTCAAGAAGGCAGAGTTTACATATTGCATCGCTTAATTATCCCCGTGGGCATTCCTTGGAGGCCTGTTTGGTTACGGATGCGGTTTGTGTGCATGGAAAAGGATTTGCCATCACGAGCGGACTTGGGCAGGCACCTACAGAAGGAGAAGCCACTGGCGATAAGCAGAGCCCTACGTCAAGCCACATCCAAGTCCCTAAGCTGAAGAAGTGCTTAGGGACCCGTTCACCCCATGGGATAACACACCAACAAGCAAACAGCCACTTAGCCATCCTCAAAGCTTAATACAAGAAAAAAGAAGAAAAAAAAATCAGTAAATAATCTTTTTCCCTTTAAATCACTTTCAACCACTATACAAAGAAGCTGTGTTTGAGCCAGCTCTGCTTTTGTTATGACAGCTGCTATCGTGTCAGCTTAGTCCGACACACAGCTGCTGGCTCCGTGTTTTTCCAAAACATGTCTAAACTGCTCGGGATTTTGGAACTCTCTTCCTTCAAAGCAGCAACAGAAGTCGCCCTTCCAAGCTAATTGCTTCAACAAAGCTAGACAGTCATCCCAGCCTGTAAAATAAATGGCAAGCTGCGCTTGGTCTTTCAAGAGAGCTTCAAAGCACATCACAAGAGAGAAAAAAAAGGGGGAAAGCATTTGGTACAATTCCCCCAAAGGATTCCCAGGTTGAATATCTCAAGAGCCCCACTTCAGGAAAGACAAATCTGTTTTCTTTGGAGATTATTTCCATCACCATGAAGGCCACATAGGAATGCTCAGGCAGACCAGAAAGCCATTGGTGTCAGCAGGCAGCAAGACAGAGGCCACCAGCATTGTCCTTAAGACTTTTTTCTAGTATCAATCTCCAATTGAAGATAACAGACACACCAAGCACCGAGGGGGAGAGAGGGAAAACTGCAAACCCCGGGATTTCAGGAATTCCTGGCAGGTTTAGCCTAAACAGACGGCAGAGGGAGTTGCTTTGTAATTCCAAGACAGATTGATTACAGGAGAGAAAGGAGACTCTGATACTCTCTCCAAATGGTGACTATTCCAATTCCATTTTAAAAATGCTAACTATATAACATGGGCAATTCTTGATTTCTCAAGGCAAAAAAAAAAGTTCTACTGTCACTAAACTGGTACTTTTTCACAACCTCCTTCCAAAAATAATTTCAGTTGATGCTCTGCACCCAAAGACCTTTCGCAGCATGTCCTTGGAAGGATTTAAATGCTATCCCTCAAAAATACTCAACACTAAGCAAAGAAGCTCTAAAAATAAAGAAGGAAAAGAAGGTCTTTACAAAACGCTCCATACCTTCGTTTTTTTGCTCTTCGTTTTCCGAGCTCTCGCTGTCTTCGAGCTCATCATAGCCCGACGACACGCTCTGATCCATCAGCTGCAGCAGCTTGTTTTCATAAACTGTCCGCGTGGAAGCTGAAAGCAGAAGGAAAACTTACGCAGAAGGAAAATTCACGCTTCCACTGCTCCCAAAGTTGTAGTTTTTGGTCTTAGATGAGCATCCTTGAGGGCATTCAGCCCCTGGCGATACCCAAACATATCGATAACCAAATTAATACCCGGGGGGTTCAATGCGACTTCCCAGCCCGCATTCCCGGCGTGCGTACGCAGGACGGGTCCGGGCTCGGCTCCGTACAGGAGGAGCTGTTCCCGCAGCTCGCTGTCGCTCAGGCGTTGGACCTGGAGCTCCTCGGGCTCCGGCTGCTCCCGCGGCTGCTCCATCAGGATGCCGGCCGCAAACTGGGACATGGCGTCCCCAAGTGCCTCGGAAGCGAGAGATTCAGCACAAATATTTATTTTATTATTATAATTTATCAGTTATTATTATGTATTATTATTATGTATTATTATTATGTATTATTATTATGTATTATTATTATGTATTATTATTATGTATTATTATTCAGTGCAAATATTTATTGCCGTGTGAAAGAAATCCAGCAGCTTCCTGAGCCGTGCTTGTCTATCAAATGCCCAGGTGATGAACAAGCCTTGGGGACTGCTGTCACTGTTGGAATGGCTCCTAAATCCCTAGCAATTCCATCCCAGGAAGACTTCAACACCCGCCTACTCAGCCCTGCCATGCAGAGCTAAATAGGAAATCATAGGTAACGAGTCGTATTTAATTGGTGAATACGGGTAACGGATGTTTACAGCTAAGCCCAAATAAAAGATCAGCTACACAAACCACGAGGAATTCTCCAAAGCCAAAATAAAGGATTTAAATGAGCTACCCTGCTCTCCCACATCTACTGGGATGAATCACCTAGAACTACATTACTGGCATTAAATCATGTAGAACTACATTATTGCACAAATTGCCCAGCCAGAGAGATACAGAAGCACATGTGGGGAAGCACGAGTGTCCCTCCAGCTCTCATTTCCCACGGCATTCCAGGCCTCTGGAATGGTTTGCCCCGTTCTTTGTGCTCTTATCTTGATTTGTTCACCCAGGGCGCCTCGGCAGCAGCATTTTGCTTTCTTCCCCTAGCCCTCTCTCCAGTTCATGCTCTCAGCACTGAAGCCATTCCAGATTAAACACCGCTAAGCGCTGCTGCCACGAAGGGAGCTCCGACTGATGCGCATCTGCTTGTGCAATGCCAAGGGGACACAAGCGAGGACCGGCTTTGGCAACGCGTTGCTCTCAGCAACGCTCCCGCAGCGCATTTCCATATATATTGCACGGAGCAAATGCATCCCTTCCACCCCAGGAATATTACACGCAGTCGCATGCAGCAGCTGCTCCGTCGTGGTCTCTCGTGACCCAACCTTGATTACAAGGTGTGCCATCCCAATCAGAGCAAAAAGCTCCAGGGAGCAGAGACCGTTTTCAGGAGCAAAAAGCCTTCCCCGTCGCCACACCTCTCGTCCTCTTCTCCTTCGAAGGCAAAAGAAAAGGCTCCAGGTTTGATCTTTGTGCCTTTGCACGTTGTTTTCTGGAGCCATATGCTCTCCCCTCGCTGCTAGTGGACAAAGCACCAGGATAAGATAAAATGGGACAATTCCAACGTATTCCCGTCGCTTCTGCTCCCATTGCAGGGTGGCTAGTGAGCGACAGATGGTACCTGCCTCCCAGGACACAAAGTCCAAGGTCTATACAAATATTAAGGGCAGATATGCGGATGAAAGGTGGTGCCGAAGGAGGAGGCTTCGTGTAGACAGAGCCCTTCCAGCAGCGCTTCTCTCTTCCTCCCATCCTCCCTGAACACCGGGCAAGTTCCCCAGGAATTCCTTGACATTTAAAGAACATCAGCAAACAAAGGGGTCTCTCACTACAAGGTAGCTGCTCATTTTAAAATAGTCCATATAGCAATACATTGGATTTTCCGTAAGGTTTTTCCTCCCATTAGTGCCAATCTAATACTTTTATCTTGCTAAGCTCAGTCACTTAAAGGTAACATGCTAGATGGACCACCTCAGGGCGAAGCAATGAGAAATTTGCTCCCATCAGAAAGAAAAAAAAATAATAGTAATAATAATAATAATAGTAATAATAATAATAATAATAATATTCTCATCTCCTCACATGCTCAGCTCGGGTTCTGGTTGCTCCCGAAGGCAGCAGCAGATGTTAGGAGGGCGGCTGCTCCCCGGTCGCCCCAGCACAAACCATTAGCGACGGGTCCGCAGCATCACGAGCTGCCTCGGTAACCGCGAGGTCAGGCTCCATTGTGACTTCGCTGCTGCCTAATCAGAGAAGGTTCCTTAGGGGAAAATCCCGGGAAGACGCTGGGAAAGTCCTAAGTGTCCTCTATGGTTAAAAATTAGAAGTGGCGTCTTTCACACAACGTAAGGAAAATACCCAAGAAAAGCTAATGTGCAGGTTTCTAGAGATGCAGAATTTGGAGCCTTTAAGAAATAAGACCGATCCCTATAGACCATAGCGTAGAGGGAAGATGTATGGACTGTGATACTCTCGGATACCATGACTGGTTTAAACCACTAAAACACAGGGCAGCAAAAAGCCATTTCCAAGTGCTGATATTCCCTCAGCTATTGCACTAACCAAGGTCACAGAAGCTAGCTAATATCAGAACAGATTTTAGTGAGTAAAACAGAAGCAATTCCTTTTGCAGAATGCACTAGAGGTCCTTTTCCTCCAAAACAGCCAGATATATGTTCCTAAATATTAGGGAAAAAAAAACCCAGAAGCATTTCCTAAGCAGCTGGCACTTAAACCCACATGCACAAGAGACCTTTAGGTTAAGGAGAACTTTCCATCAAAGCAGTGACCTGCAGTGGCTCTAGAAGCAGCCGAACTCCAGCAGCTTGGGAAAGTTTAGTGCCGAGAATTGTTTTCTTCTGTCCTTGAGGGCGGCACCTGCATTAAAAAAAAAAAAAAAAAAAATCATAGAGAATTTTCTCTTCTAAAGCTGATTTTAGGTTGCTACAGCACTCCTGGCAAGGGTAGGATCCCCTGGGTGATGATTCGCATCACCCAAATTTCACCAGCACCCACAGGGTGCTGTTAGCCTCCAGCTGCTCCAAGCCCAGGAGCTCCCCACCACCCACCCCAAGCCCCGGAGGAAAACAACCCCCAAGGGCTGAGCCTGGGGGGAGAATTCCAGCTGCAGGAATTCATGTTCCCCTCCAGCACCTCGGTGGAGTTTTGATCCAATTGCTGCCGTTCAATTGCTCCAAGAAAAACAACCATGAATATAAGAAGGTGCAAAGCAGCAGATCCTCTGTAACCCCCGCTCATGCAGCACCCTGTCTCGGGGTGCGTTAGCCCAGACCCCTCCTCACGCCCTGGCACCCCGCTCGGTAAAATGAGCCCGCGAGGGGCCTTCCGTGACCCCGACGTGATTCGAACACGCAGCCTTCTGATCTGGAGTCAGACGCGCTACCGTTGCGCCACGAGGTCCCAGCGAGCGTTGCGCCAGCGCGCCGCCAAGAGCCTGCGCTCCGCGCATGCGCAGCGCCTCCCAACAGCCCCCGGCGCGGCAACCACTCCCCCCTACCGGCCCCGCCGCCTTTCGAGCCGCCCGCCCCCCGCGGGACGTACCACCTCCGGAGGGAAGGGGGGGTTCGCGCCTGCGCAGCGCCCCCTGGCCGGCACCACCCGCCGCCTCCCCCCCGCAACCCCCCTGCTCGCTTGGGCTGCCCCAACCTCGAGCCTCCCGTTTTTAAAGGGGCCGCCGGCGGCGCTGTTACATGCGCTGAGTTGGGCGGCATGGGCGTTCTCAGCTCGGGGCCGGGGGCTCGAGGGAGGAGGGGAAAAGTAAGGGCCTGATTCACGGTGGCCCTGGAGGGCGTTTGGGGGCTGCGACCGTTCCCCCTGCGGCCCTCGTTGCAGTTCGTGGCTGTCCGGTGGGATTTGGTGGCGGTGAGGCGTCACCGCTTGGCGTCACCGCTCGCTCATCCCACCCGAAATCCATGAAATCCAAGAAATGAGAGGCTCTGTGGCTGATTCGAACTCTTTATTTTCCTTCCCACCCGCTCTCCCCCGATCCCAAACGGGGTCATCCCCCGAGGGGGGGACCCGCACCCCTCATGTACCCCAGCCCCAAAACAGCAGCAAATCCCAATGCAAATCCCTGAGCGATCCTTAGGGAACACGGGGAGCACCGACCCCGCCGGCCCCTTCGGACGGGAGCCGAGTACTGGCGTGTGGAAAACGGGATGAAAACAGCTGGTGTTTATGGCTCCTGGGCCGGTGGGTCCCGCCCTGGCAAAAAATTAGGGGGAAAAGGGGCAAATTTGTCGCATCTCACAAAAGCAAGAGGCGAGAGCTGGTGTGTGGGGCTCCGCGCCGAGCCCGTGTCCGTATAAATAATGTCCCGTATAAATAATGTCCCATATAAATAATGTCCCGTCAGCACCCGGGCCATCCCGCCGGATTTACAGGGGTGTAGGATGGAAGTTGGATGCGCGGCTTGGAGTTTGCACGTGGCGGGCTCCGGAGCGGCCCATCGGTCCCCTGCTCCCGGCCCACGAGCACGGAGCGGGATGGGATAACGGGAGGATGCGCTCGGGTGGCGTCTGCGGCGTCCCGACCTGCTCCAATGCGCTCCGATGTGCTCCAATGTACTCCAAACTGTTCCAATGTGCTCCAAACTGTTCCGATGCACCCCAATGTGCTCCAACATGCTCCAGGTTGCTCCAGTGTTCTCCAATGTGCTCCAATATGCCCCAACCTGTTGCAACGTGCTCTAGCGCTCGCTTTCCTGGCCCGGGAAAGCTCGGAGCTCGGCACAGCTCCGGCTGCTGGCATTGTGGCAGGGTTTGGACACTGTGCCGGGCTGTGTTGGAGAGAGCAGAACTCCCCACATCCCTGGATCACTGCATCCCCGCATCCCTGCAGCCAGAGTATCCCTGCATCCCTGCCTCCAGAGCATCCCTGCATCCTCACATCCCTGCATTCCCACATCTCTGCAGCCAGAGCATCCCCGCATCCCGAGCATCTCTGCATCCTGCATCCCTGCAGCCAGAACATCCTTGCATCACTGCATCCAGAGCATCCCTGCATCCCCGTATCCTTGCAGCCAAAGCATCCCCGCATCCCAGCAGGCAGAGCTTCCCTGCATCCCCGAAGCCAGAGCATCCCTGTATCCCTACAGCCAGAGCATCCCTGCATCCCCAGAGTCAAAACATCCCTGCATCCCAAGCATCCCTGCATCACTGCATTCTGGCATCCAGAGCATCCCTGCATCCCCGCATCCCAAGCATCCCTGCATCACTGAATTCCAGCATCCCGAGCATCCCTGCATCACTGCATTCTGGCATCCCGAGCATCCCTGCATCCCCGCATCCCGAGCATCCCTGCATCACTGCATTCCAGCATCCAAAGCATCCCTGCATCCCCTCATGCCGAGCATCCCGCCGGGGCGCCGCGGCGGTGCCGTATCCGCAGGGATGGCGCCGCGGGCTCACACGGCCGTCTCCCGGTGCGTGCCGCCCTCCTCCTCCTCCTCCGGGCGCCCCTGGGCCGTGCAGGAGCCGCGGAGGCCGCAGAAGCAGGCGAAGGAGACGCGGGGCCTGGCGCGCGGCCGGCCCGGCGCCGCCGGAGCCTGCGGGCACAGCGGGACGCGGCTCAGAGCCCCGGCTCCTTCCCAGAAAACATTCATGGAAATAGCACAGAACTGAGGCTTTTTTTCCCACTCCCGCCTTTATTTTTCAGTGGTTCCACAGCAAAAACGCCACGGGTGAAGCCACCGCACGGAGGCCCAGTGACCCTGGCACCCGCAGTGTGACATGGCCCCGGATCCCGCCCGGCTGCTTCCTGACCCCTGGAAAGGTGGGAAAAGGAGCACGAAGGAGTGAGGAATGAGGAGGATGGAAAGGCAGTGACTTTGAAGGGGGACTTGAGCCGCCGGCTGCCGCGGGGCTCGACGAGGCTGGAGAGCCCGGCGCGGGGCCGTGTTTGTCACTGTCACGGTGACGAAGCTCTGTTGCCTGTCTTAACGGTGGAAAACGCCTGGAAAACACCTCTGGAATCCAGGAAAAGCAGCGGGATGGAGCCTCGGCCCAGCAGTGTCCCGTCTCCCAGGGCTTGCAGCTCCAATGCAGCTGCAGGGCTGCATTCGCCATGCACCAAGTGATGCAGCGAGCAGGACCAAGGTGACCGGGACTCAGTGATTCCCGGCACGTCCCCAGCCCGGCCCTGAGGGCCACCTGAATTCCGGGCGGGATGAGCACCCTCGGGGCTGGGATCCCTACGGGTCTGTGTGACACGAGCAGGGCCAGGCCCTGAGCGGTGGCGCATCCGTCCCCCCATCCCCATCCTCACCCTGTGGCCGGGGACAAGGGCAGCTCCTGCTTCCCTGAGGACTCTGCTTAGCAGATAGGGATGCTCCAAGGATATTCCCCTGGCCATGGAAGCTCACCTGGTGCTGGCAGCGTTTCCAGGGGGTCCCGGCAAAGCCCCTGCGCAGCAGAGACCTCAGGGACACCCTCGTCCCACGCATCCTTCCCGGCGGTGCTGGCAGGAGCTGTTCCACAACCCCAAGGAGCACGACTGGAGCTGGAGCCGGCGGGAATCTCCTGCGGGACCTGCACGGGCTGGATAAGAGAGAGAAGGATTTGGCTTTGGCAGCAAAACCCGCGCCCCTCCGTGCAGCCCCGGCCGCTCTGATCGGGGGCTCTTCCGAATGAGCAAATCCTCATTAAGAAATAATTCCAGCAGCCTGGTGAGCTGGGCTTAATTCCTTTCATTTTGGTGGCTGGAGTTTAGCAGGGCTGATTTATGCGCCCGCTCTTGGGCTTTCCTTGTGGGAACTTGGGGGATTTCGCCCGTTCCCTCCCTCCACACCTCCCTGAGTCACGGGATTGCAGCCAAATCTCAGCTTTCCTTACAGGATTACAGCCGAATCTCAGCTTCCCTCTTTTTTTTTTGTCAATGACTCTTATTTTTAGGGTTGCATTCCAGACCGGTGAAACCAGCTTGCAAGCCCGACACCTAATGACTCCAAGCTCCGGAAGTGAGGAGGAAAAAGAAAACCAAAAGAAAGCAGAAGAGGAGCAAAATTGCTGCCCTGCTGATTGCACCGGGCTGCTCCAAGCCGCAGTTTGCAACGCTGGGGACATCGGGGCAAGGAAATGCGGAGCTGGAGCGGGTCCGGTTCAGCACGGTGCAACGTGGGACGTGCCAGCACCTTTGGGGACACCTGTGGGACCCCATGTCCCGGGCTGCAGCCTGGGATATTCGGGAATGCAGGAGAAAAGCCAGAGCGGCCGCTTTTTGGAGCTGGAAAGGATGGAAGGAGCCTGGCTTCGGTGCCCCCCCTTTGCTGGGTGCCGGATCGGGGGGTCGCGGGGGACGAGGCGGCGCCGGGAGCTGCAGCCCCCCCTCCGGGCAGCCCATGGCTTTTCGCCCTACATGAGTTCGGAAGAGCAATCACATAGGAATAAAAAGCCATAGGCCGCAGCAGAGGGATCTACCGAGGAGGAGGAAAAGGGGAAAGGAGGGAAAAGCTCCCGGTCCTCCCGGATCATCTTCCATGAGTGCCTGGCTTGGAGCAGGGGCCCGGGTGAGCCCTGATCCGTGTGCAGGACGTGGTGGGACGGGGACGACGCTCCCATCCCACAGCAGCAATGCGGGCGCGAAATTCCACCCCGCCCCCGGCATTCCCAAACTGGGGGGAAAATTCCAGAGCTCGGGATACACCGAGGTGGGAGGCAAGGGGCAACCCGGGCGAGAGCCCACAGGGAAAGGAGCCCGGGGCCGGTTACGGGCCAGGTATTTGTGCCTGGCGCCCGTAACAAAGGCGCTATTGAAGCTGCGGCCGCGCGGCGCCGGGAAGCGGAATCCCGCGGGATGCACGTGCGGCCTTTGATCCCGCTCCCCCGCTGCCATGTGCATTACTCACGTCCTGCTGCTCCGCGTCGCTGCCCACCGGGAAGGATGGGATCAGGGCCGAGGGACGGGCAAGCAGGGATGCAGCCTGGCATGGGAAACGTCCCGGCCGTGCCCAGTTCTGGCCGCGCTTTCCTTCCCTGTGGTCCCTGCTTGGCACTGCGTGTCGCTCCTCCAAAATCCAGCCCGGTGCAACCCAGGATCGGGATTGGGAGCGGCCGCAAGGGCTTCGCTCGGCACCGAAAGGGCTTCACGGGGTGCCCAGGTCCTTCCTATGCCGGGTACATTCGAAGCCTCCCCAGGCTGCTTGGCCCTGGCATCAGTTTTCATGGCCCTATGGGGGCTCCTGCAAGCCAATTCCAGCAGGGATTTCCGCATGGCTGAAATCCCGGCTCCGTGGGACCCCTGAAATTCCAGGGGAGAGGCACCAAATGCGCCAGCGTCTTCCATGACTTGCAGGGTTGTCTCCACCGGGCTGCCTGGAGCAAACTGGCCACATCTCCCTCGGAGGAACCAGGCACAAAAGGACCCTAAATGAGCGGAAAAGGCACCAAAACAGACGTCCCCATCGCCGAGGGCTTTCCATGCAGCTCCCAGTGCCGAGAGCTCCAGTGCCTATTTTGACCATTGGCTCCAGGATCTGCCAGAGCTACGGGCCACACTCGTAGGGCGCCTGGTCTTGAAAGGTCTCCAGGGGAGATCTTCATAAAATCTCCAAGGATTTGCAGAGCATTTGTCACTGCACTTCCCAGATTCCAGCACTGCTGCGTCCTCCTCAGACTGCATGGGATTTTTGGGGTTCACAGAGACATCAGGGCTCAGGGAAGGAGAAGCTCAAGAGTGGCCGGAGTTGTATCCAGGATTATTATGGAGTTACCCAGCTCCATTATCATCCAATTTTGTCATTATAGCTCAGAAAAATAAAAACAAAACAAAACAAAACAAAGCAAAAAAAAAAAAAAAAAAAAGAAAAAAGAAACCCCAGATCTTCTCCAGATGTTGTACCAGAGCCCCAACCTCTTTGCAGGATGTTCTGGTTGCTGTGAAAACTTGACCAAAGCAGCCGAGTTTTGCACATGCTCCTGCAGCCATGTGCACCTTCCCAAAACCAGGGCCGGGAGGGTGCCAGTGGGACCGGGGCAGGCAGAGGGTGCCACCAAGGGCTGCCTTTCTCCATGGGTGTCCGAGGCTGCTTGCTTGGAAGAGCAGAGATGTCCTTGCGGGAATGGGCAAGATTATTTTGCAAATCCAGTCGATTTGGACCAAGTGGCCTCTTGTTCTAGGCCTGCTTAAGCCCCTGGTTTCAGTGCACGGTGCCCGCGCGGAGCCTGCAGAGAAGCCTGCGTGTCACTGCCGGGTGACACCACAAAAGAGCAATGTCCCCAAGGCTTCGGACTTGGGGGTCTGGCCCACGGCGGCCGTTTCTCCAAAGAGCAGGAGCGCGGTGGTGCGTGGCCTTCTCCGCTGGGGACATCCAGCACCTCGGCCGGTGCCATCGTGTCCGCCTGGCCCCATGCGTTTTCCTGCCACTTGGAAGGTGTTTCTCCTCTCGGGAGGTGTCAAACTTGTCCCCAGCTGAAGGTGAGCTCAGCTTGTGTTTTCGTGCTGTCTCACCTGCTCTTCCCACCAAATCACATATCCAACCTCCTCTCCGGTCCAAGGCGATGCAGATGTGAGACATTTGGGCTTCCCCTCTGCTGGCCCTCCCTGCTGCCAAACATTTGTCACCTTCTGCGGACAAGTCGCTGGGGACCCGATGCCAGAGGTGTGTCACCGTGGCAAGGAGACATAAGGTGCCACCTATAAGGTGCCACCTATGTGAAGGACAGTGCCATTGGGTCCCCCTCTGTGGCTGCCCAGGGTGATGAGGATCCCTCACCCATCACCAGCAATGAGCCACGGTCCCCCCTTGGATGAGGACAGGAACTGTGGGGACATGGGGATACTGGGGCTGCACTGGGAGTTTCCCCATTCCTCAGTGGGTCCCATCTGCTCCAAGCCCCGCTGGGTGCACACGTGTGCACACACAGCCCTCACCATGGGTGCCCAAACCCTTGCACAAGCCGTGGGACCCGCTGGGATTCCTCGCCCTGCAGCACCCCCATGCCCCAGCACCCAAACACGCGTGGAATAACAGCCGGAATCAAACAACACCCAGATCAAGGGAATTCCTCCCGGAATCTCCCTCCCTTTTCCAGCCCTGCCGCTCCACGCACGCCCCTCTCCCTACCTGTGCCCAGGATTAGCTCGTTGGGAGGCCGGGAAGCTCCAGGCTCCCTCTCCAGGCAGCAGCCCGGGGCTCTGAGCTGCGAGTTTCCAGCCCCAGGAAGGATTTTGCAAATGCCTTTTCATCGCCGCGCTGAGCTCGCCCTATTGCACCGCCGCTGCTTTGCTGCTTTTTTTCCCCTTACAGGATTCAATCACATTCAGCAAGACACAGGCATTAGCAAATCTGCTCTTAATGCTCCAGTTCACACTCATGAGAAGGGAAAATAAAAGGCTTCCGAGCTAAGCAGAGTTCAGCTCTCCTTCTGCCTCTAATCCGGGGCTGCTGCGTGGATTTTATGCACACGAAATTCAGCGCAGAGGTGTCTGTGCCCGTGCACATACCCAGTCCTACACCAACACTTCGCTTCGGCAATATGGGGGTAAACTAGGTGGAAAACTTATATTGCCACATATATATTTGCACATAGGACCATACTTCACGTGCAGGACCACTCCTACAAGTGCACGTTTCCTGCTGAAGCGCGGCAGCTAAAGAGCCCCAATGTAATCCAGCTGATCTAAGTGCACTAGCGAGTGCTGCCTATAGACTGCCTGTCAAAATAGGTAACGTGAATACACACAAATACATCTATACATCCTCGCCAACGTTCATTGATGCCTGCAGACCACTTAATGATTATTCCTGCCTAAAACAAAGGGAACTTTTCTTTTTTCCCCCCCCCAGCTAATGACCATATCTCCACAAGAACATAAGCATTGCAAGCAGATGTCACACAATGGCTAAGAGCGCGAATATACACAGGTACCCCCGTTCACATACACAACACACAGACACATATTCCCAACGCCTACAAGCAGAAAAGCACCCCCGGCGCAAGGAATTCCCTCGGCTCCGCTCCGCCGCGGACGTTACCTGCGCGGTGCAGGGATGCGGGCGGGCCGGGCACGGCTGCGGCTGGGCGACGAGCACTGCAGGTGCCCGCGCGCGCCGGGCGCCCCGTGCAAACGCCCACCGCAGAGCGCGCGTGCATGAGCGCGTGCACTGCTGCCCGCCGCCCCGCTCGCCCGGCAGGACTTCAGACAAAGAAAGGAAAGAGAAAACCGCCCTCTTACTTTTTCCTCCTTCTCCTTTCCCCCTCTTTGCTCTCTCTTCCCCGCCGCCTCAGTGTGGGGATGCGATGGGGACCGCAGCGACGGAGCGGCGGGTTGGGAAGCGCGCGCCGAGCGCGGCCGCGGTGGAAGGAACAAAAGGCCAGCGAGCAGCGCCCAAGAGGGGTCTTCCTAATTGCCCGGGGGTTGCGTGGAGGCGGGCGGCTCCGASGGGCCTCCCTCCCGCACCGCCTGGCCCCCCGCGCGGGGACGTTAGTGCGGAGATTATCCACCCYGCCGGCACGTCCTGCATCCGCGATGCTGCGCCGGGAGAGGCGGCTCTGCATCCCTGCGTTTGGAAAGCCAGCTCGGCATCCGTGCGCCCGGGAAGCCGGCTCCGCATCCCTTCATCCGGAGAAGCCATCGCGGCATCCGGGCGCTGCACCCGGAGAGGCGGCTCGGCACCGCCGCGCCGGGAAAGCCGCGTCCCTCTCCTCCCTTTTCCGCTCCGTCCCGGTCCCTCCTTCTCAAGGCAGACACAAAAGAGATCCTGACCGAGGAGGGGAAGCGTTGGGCACTAAGGAAAAAAACAGAAGGAAAAAAAAAGGAGGAGAAACAAGCCTCAGGTCGTGCTTTGGGCAGGCGGGGACATTAAAAATAGCTGGGATAGCTCAGCATGGGAYGCAGCGTTCCCGCTGTAAGGAGCGCGGCTCGCAGGGCGAGCTGGATGCCCCTCTCCCCCGCGCTCTCGCCGTCTGCCCGTCCCCTCCACGCTCTGCACCACGGATCCTTGTGGGAAAGGGCATTTTTCCACTGCCAGGGGCTGTGGACAAGTACTGGGAGTTCTCTACCCGGAGCTTTTCCCTGATCACTATGGCCACATAGGTGGGCTGAGCTAGAATTAAAGCCACCGACCCATGTCCCGGCTCCCCTGGGTGTTGCAAATGCAGCGACAAGTTGAATYGGTGACTTTTTCTTCCGCTCGCTCCTACCCCTTTGCTTCAATCCCTAAAGCCCAGACTGTCAGCGTGATCCCATGGGGATGTAGCAGCATTCAGATCCATAAAACGAGACAGTTCTGGGGACCCCCTTGCCCACCAACAGCGGGAAAAGCTCTGAAGGGCCCCAAAAGAGGAGGGAGGAGGACAGCGGCGGCCGGCAGGGAGAGCCGCCTCCRAGCCCCGCGCGGCCCCCTTGGGCTTTCTCACTTATTTATTTTTTTAATTGCTCAGCACCCTGCATTTGCATAATCCCCACAACGCCGCGCGGCTCCGCTTTCGCTCTGAGCTAATAAACAGACGACCAAAATAAATGTGTCACATACGATATCCTTCCATATATATATACACATACACACACATATATATATATGGCTTTTTCCATATATATATGTGTTCTTTTGCTCCTGGTGAGCGAACTACCACCGGGAAATGCCACTGTGGGGTGAGCTCCATGGGAGGGAGTGGGATGGGAATGTGCCGGGAGGGCCAAATCCCACATGTTCCACTGGCTACAGCTTCCTGCAGGTCATCCCCAAAGCAGATGGGGGCAGCTCCATCACAAATGTGTTTTTTCCACACACCTGAGTGGCCTCCTTGGCTGCAGACCCTCCGTGTCCAGGTTTTGGGTGCGTTTTCCCTGCCCCGACCGAGCGCAGGGGTTTCCTCTGTCCCCAAATGTCCACTTCAGCCCTCGGTGCTCCCTCGCCTGCAGCGGAGGTGGCTCCATCTGGGAAATTAGCTCCCCAAAATGAGGAAAAGAACAACGGGTTTGCACCAGATACACAGGCAGGCCCATGGAGGTGGCATGGTGGGGACAAGACGGCCACCACCATKGCCACCAGGTGCCAGGCAGTGCCCCTGCCCTGGCACTGGCTGTATTTGGAACGATTTCTCCTAGAAAAGGGCTAAAATGAGCAGTGAGAGGAGGAAGTCGGGCGGGAGAAGCTGAGGTGAAGCAGAATCACCCATTAGGGTCAGATGAGGACAGAGGGATGTCACCCATGGCAGCCACAAGGCAGAAAAATGAGAGGAAAWTGGGTAGAAATTGGGTGGAAATT